TTGTGAATTTTAAAAGTATAAGGTTTACGTGTAGTCAACTGATTAAAATATTTGATACTTTTTGTCATTGTCTACATTAAATTTTTATAACATAACTTTGGAGTATTTACATTTACAAACTTTACATTCAATTAATCGGAGTATTTAATAATGGCAGGGTTGGTTAAAATCTTTGATGCATTTCATGAATTGTGGTTAAAGCATAGCATTGCGTGTAAACCTTGTTTTTATTGTCAATGATTCGTATCCATTAGATTAGATTTATTTATTAGTTCAAACAATATATTGTATTAATTATTTTAATTTAATGTATTAATGAATAGTAGTAACTATCAAAAGATAACTACTGTAATTGTAATATAAATATCTAATAATTATATACTTTGTTATAAAATGTTGTTCCTGTCGGGTGAACGTATTGAAAGTGATAATAAATAAATAAAATTTAAAATAAAATATTAATTATTATGAATAACATTACCATTGTAGTTTATTATTATAATAATTGTAAGTTATTTGGTTATTAAATGAAAGGTTAAACTATATTCTTATTAAAATTTTAAATTACAAAAATTATTAATGACTGTAATTTTAATAAATTTATACAATTAAAATATTGTCTATAGTAAAATTACCTTTGTGTTGGAGACTTGTAGATTCCGTGTTAAATAAATCACTTCATATAAGTAAGATTTTTATCATTAGCAGTAACTTTACTTTTCTAGTTTATTTTTAAGGTAATTTTAAAATGATAATTATATTAATTAGATTAAACTATACTAATTAATTGTAATTAAATTAAATAACAAACATGGAAAATCTCAAAAAAAAATATTATGTTTAAATAAATAAATACTTGGTTAAAAATTAATAAGGAATTAATAAAAATTTTAAAAATAAAAACCAATACAAAATTTTGATAATACGTATTTGTATTTAAAAAATTTGTCCTTGAAGATAAAGTTGAAAAATTTAATTATATGAGTTCATAAGTATTAGATTTTTATATAATATTAATTTTGAAAATTATTTTAATTGTACGTCGCTAATTAAATATATATATTATTTACCAGGAACCAACAATATGGATAATTATGTAAATAATATATCACTTCATTAAATATTACAATAAATTAATCATTTAAAATTAACTAAGTAATATTATATAAGTAATCATTATGTATTTATGATGTGGTTTGAACACTATGATTAAAAATAATGGATTATGGTATAACAATAACTATTATTTGTTTTATTATTTTAACCCTTCCTGTGTACCGTTAAAAAGTTACGTAGATTGTACAGTGGCCAATTTTTTGGCCAACGTTAAGTCAGTACGAAAAGTGTGCGCAGTGACTGCGCGTGTACAGTGGCCGATTTTTAGTAAGCACAAGCAAAGCACTGTTTTATACTACCACGCATTCAGAAATGTTGTAATCTTGATTTAGTAATAATTTATATATTAATTAGTTATTATAGTTAAAAGTATTTTCAACGTATAATTTTACTTATTAATAAATTTGTGAGGCATATCTGAATTTATATAATAATTCAATTAACTGCTGAGTTTTAATTAAATGTCAAAGTTGATTTGGCCAAAAAATCGGCCACAGTACGCAGGAAGGGTTAAATATTAACAACAAATTAATATAAATTTAAAATCACAATATTATTATAAATATTTTATGTTTTTAAGTAAAATCCAGAATTATTTGCAAAATACAGTGCAACCTCTCTTGGGGGAACTTCTCTTGAAGGAATACCTTCTTTAGAGGAACAGACTTTAAGCTTATTTTGAAATTTTTTATAGTTATAACAGAACCTCCTTTGGTGGAACCCTCTCTATAGGGAACAATTTTGCCGTGCATCTGGCCGTTCCTTGTGGAGAAGTTGCACTGTACTTTTATTCTTTTTATTTGGGAAATTATTTAAAATTATATTTAATAGGTATTATAATATATAGTAATTTATTACATTACAAACTACACATCACACAATTGTAAACCAATAATAAATTATTTTAAAAATTTGTTCAATTTATTCAACTTGTGAGAATTAATTAACAGTTTTATTATAATTATCTTAATTTTATTAAGTCTTTAAACAGTTATATTATAAATATATTTTAGTTTAACTAAAGATAAATTACCAATGTGAAAGTTACAAAGATAACCACATTTAATTGATCATTTTCAGTTTATCTTATATTTATATCCGTCTATAAACTTCAACTGTACAATAAATATAATATATTTATATAAACTAGGACAAATTAATAGCAAAGTTAATACAATACCATAATGGAGTTTAAAACTTTAATTATATTGATTCTAGCAAGTATTTGTTTGGCAGATTTACCAAATGACCCTTGCGCAAAGAAAATACAACCAGATGTAGACAAGTGCCTATTGGCCAAAGTGCCCGATTATGACCCTGATAATACAAATCCAAAATATTACTGTTGTATTACTTGGATTGCTAATGATTGCTACGAATCAGTTGGAAAAGTAAGTGTTTTATTAGATTTATTATATTTGTATATAATTAAATATAAATGTTTAAATAATTTTATTGTACCTGCAGACAAAATGCTCTAGCTCGGAGTTAAAAACTATGGATCAATTGCTTAGTAACATGAAGAAAGTGTATAATGATGGACAATGCAAAGTGTACCCATATCAGGCTAATTTAAATAAATGTGCTAAATCATAAAAATTTTGCAAAAATTGTTTCGATTAAACAAATAAAGAATATTATTTATAAATTAATCATGTTTATTATTGTGAATATAATGAAAAATACTCGCAAAATATTTGATTGCCGATATCTATATTGATAAACCAAGATTAGTAAAACAATGACATTTTACTGGGTATTACAATAAAACAGTATTTTTCAAATATAAGTTGTAAAAAACATAATTTTTCAAACTAAACATGTTCAGAATATCAATAATTATACTTTTTGGCCCCAAACAAAGAAATGTATATTCTATTGTTTTTTTAGTTGTTTTTATTGTTTAATCAAATATAACATTTTATATAATTATTTTCAATTTGTTTTGAGAATAATTAATTGTTAATTTTTTTGTTGTGTAATATATTACATCTAGATTTGTGCAGTAATTGCAAACTCATATAAATTTCTAAATGAATTTTAATTTATCATAATTGTAATTGTTTTTAATCTAATAAGTTTATATATGTTTTGTAATTAACAAAAGTAATTAAAAACGCGAATAAATTGTTGAATACCCAATATTAACATAAAAATTTAAATAATACAATTGTTAAATATAAAATTTTATAAATATGTTTATTTAATAATAATAAATATTATTTATTAATAAACCTGTGCTACATTAATAACTAAATTGTTAACTAATATTAATTTATTTAATAGAAATGAAAATAATCATTTAATAATAAATTTGTAACAAAAATTAATTTAACGTTATTAACAAAACAATTTAGTAAAATAACAACTAATGATAATAATGATATGTCATGGTATATCTTATAAAATACAATAATCATCTATTACATAAATGTGTATAATAATTATTACAGAAACATTATGAAAACCATAAATACTTTTCATTACAAAAATATTTTTCTGTGGCACCAATAATATTGATACAATAAATTTAGTAATATTAATTTAATAATAACAATAAGGTAAACTTTCTTGTATAATTGTGCTAGATTTAACCTAATCATTTAACCTGCCACTATATTTACTAGAATTCAATGTCGGTTGATAATAATGACGAGCAAATTGAACTCAAGAAAAAATATTTAGCTAAACTACCCTCTAACATGGTAATTGATCAAGATGGTATATTTGAACTTGGTCCAATCAGTCGCACGAGTTGGCTGTTGTCCATAAAGGACCTGACAGTTAGACCGACAGATATATGGATATGTGGTTATCACAAGTCAGGCAACACTAGGCATCAGTTTATATTGCAAATGACTATTAATAATCCTGGGCTCAGGTATGCTCTCAAACCACTCCAATTGATTCGTAAACATATAATTGTGGTAAACATTAGGCACTCTCTGATGTATGGGTCGGTCCCGGACTCTGTCGACCACTCCGTCGGCCATTATTAGGGACACAATCTCTGAGAGCCAAGTGTTGCCCGACTTGTGATAACCACATATCCATATATCTGTCGGTCTAACTGTCAGATCCTTTATGGACAACAGCCAACTCGTGCGACTGATTGGACCAAGTTCAAATATACCATCTTGATTAATTACCATGTTAGTGGGTAGTTTAGCTAAATATTTTTTCTTGAGTTCAATTTGCTCGTCATTCTTATCAACCGACATTGAATTCTAGTAAATATAGTGGCAGGTTAAATGATTAGGTTGAATCTAGCACAATTATACAAGACAATTTACCTTATTGTTATTATTAAATAAATATTACTATTGTATCAATATTATTGGTGCCACAAAAAATATTTTTGTAGTGAAAAGTATTTATGGTTTTCATAATGTTTCTGTAATAATTATTATACAATTTTATGTAATAGATGATTATTGTATTTTATAAGATATACCATGACATATCATTATTATCATTAGTTGTTATTTTACTAAATTGTTTCGTTAATAACGTTAAATTAATTTTTGTTACAAATTTATTATTAAATGCAATTTTCTATGTTATTCAAGAATTTATTTGGGGTTTTAATTACATTTGTTAATTACAAAAAATATAAACTTATTAGATTAAAAACAATTATAATTATGATAAATTGGAATTTATTTAGAAATTCATATGAGTTGCAATTACTGCACAAATCTAAATCTAATATATCCATAATAAATAAATTAGCAATTAATTATTTTTAGAATAATTATTAAATATATTATGTTTGATGAAGCATTGAAAACAACTAGAAAACAATAAATATATATTTCATTAATAAGAGGCCAAATATTATTAGTATTAATATTTCAAACATGTTTAGTTTAAAAAATTATGTTTCTTTACAACTTATATTTGAAAAATAGTGTTATTGTAATACACAGTAAAATGTTATTGTTTGACTAATCTTGTTTATCATTATAGAGTCGGCAATCAAATAGCGGGCCGAGTATTGTTCATTAAATTTACAATAATAAATATAAATAATTTTTAAATCACATTCTTTATTTATTTAATGGAAACAATTTTGCAAAATTTTTACGATTTAGCACACTTGTTTAAATTAGCCTGATATGGGTACACTTTGCATTGTCCATCATTATACACTTTCTTCATATTGTCAAGCAATTGATCCATAGTTTTTAACTTCGAGCTAGAGCATTTTGTCTGCAGTTATAATAAGATTATTTAAACATTTATATTTAATTATATACAAATATAATAAATCTAATAAAATACTTACTTTGCCAACTGATTCGTAGCAATCATTAGCTATCCAAGTAATACAACAGTAATATTTTGGATTTGTATTATCAGGGTCATAATCGGGCACTTTGGCCAATAGGCACTTGTCTACATTTGGTTGTATTTTCTTAGCGCAAGGGTCATTTGGTAAATCTGCCAAACAAATACTTGCTAGAAGGAATATAGTTAAAATTTTTAACTGCATTATGGAATTATTTTAAATCCAATATTAATTTGTCCTAGTTTATATATAAACAGTTAGAGTTTATAAACGGATATAAATATAAGATAAACTGAAAAATATATAATAAATGTGTTTATCGGTGTAATTTTCCCATTGATAATTTATCGTTAGTTAAATGACAATGTGTTTATAATAATATTAAAGTTTATATTATAATGTTTTAAACATTTAATAAATCTAGTAAATCAAACTAATTATTATTTAACCCGACATATTTTTACCAAGTTAACATTTTGAATTATTATATCAATTTGTAATCAATAAACGTGATTGTTTTAATACATTATTCGTAATTATTATAATAATTTGGTTTTTAATTGCAATGAAAATCTCACTATTTAATTAATAAAATTAAATTTAAAAAAATTACAATAACAATTTGCACTATAGTTATTATTAGTAGTTATAAATCTAATTTGTGTTTCCCGTGTGCATTTATCTCAACAACATAGTTAAATTAAACCGTACAATATAGTTAAAATACAGTTAGTCTATTAATAATTAAATCAATTAAATGTTTATCTCAAATTAAATTATATTAAGTTTGATTAACTAATATTCCGTTTGTACGATTTATAATACGAGACTTTAAATTATATTTAAAAATTACACTAATAATTAGCTAAAAGTTTTAATTTTAGCCTAAAACTATTAATTAATCATTAGCCTAATTTAATTTGTGGTGCTGCACTAACCCAAAAACTTTCTCAAATTAAACAGTTCATTATAATTATTAAACAATTTCATTAAAATTACAGTTTGTTTACATAATTAATCATTTAATCTGAAATTAAATTTTATTAAGTTTTATTAAGTGATATCATATCTGTATAACACACAACACGAGGCAATATTATTAAATACAAAGCATAAATATTTATAATAATTATAATTTTATAAATTAATTATAATAATGTTTTAATAATAATAAAAATATTGTTTTAAAATAATGTTTATAACAAAAACTACTTATAAAGTAGACATTTGGTGGCCATTTTATATGGAATTGGCTTTTATTATAAATTAATCACTAAATATTGTATTGTCAATATAAAAAGCTATTTTTGTAGGAAGTATTTAAATTTTTATTTAAAAAAAATAAAGTACTTATTTTGTTGTATTAAAAAGTGAGTATTTTGAATGGAGTAAAAATATTTAATTAAAATATTTATTATTTAACATAATGTATTATTTATAAATTAATTTAATATATTTGAATCTGTGACAAAATTATTAAATACGCGAATTCGTTGTTTACACCTATAACTTTTAAAATCCACAATAGTTATGTTATAAAAATATAATACTATAAAAGTTACAGTAGTTTAAAAAAAATTACTAATAATGTATACATTATATAAATACAAAATTATAAATAGCACCTAGATTACATAATTGAATACACTTTGGAAAAATATAATGAGTAAGTACATGTTAACAATGTTTTTGCATATATTAATTCTTTATTAATAAATTGCTATCTTATAAATTTAGTTAATATAAAATATAGTAATTAATTGTTATGATTACTTTTCACCTGGTGCTTTCTATTCCCATTATTTCTATCATTACTTTTGCAATGGCAATTACCATGAACAATATCAATCCTAGGGCAAACAGTGAGATTATGCGCGGCATCCCATGTCATGGCAGCCGTCTCTAAGGCAGACAATTGTGTCATTTTATTGTCCAAACGTTTTGACTCAACTCCTAATGCAGTGATATTTTTAGTGCCGGCGCTCCGGATGTGGCCATCGATGACATCCTTTTGGCTCAACAACTCTGTCATCAGTCCTTCAATTGCATTGAGAAAAGTGTTCTTCACTTCCTTCAGGTGTGTCTTCAGCGCCAATACCTGAGCCTCCGATGCCTTGAGTCGAGACATACCATCGATGGCCTCCTTCTTGAGTGACATTAATTGATTCATCGCTCGTCTCATCGCTATATTGGAACTGTTTTTCACTTCAGACAAAATGTCAAGCCTTGTTGTGCGAGTTGTGGTCACCGCACGTGCCATTGGCCATAGAGGCGACGGCTCCGGGTGTTGTTGAGCACTGGTTTCAACGGCAGTTGTATTTAAGACTAAATGATAAATAAATTTATTGTAATTTTTATTTATTTAAATTGCATTTAAGTATAATTACATTCATCGATGAGTTCGGGAAATGTTGGCTTTAATTGTATTGAATTTTTATCAATACTTAGCGTTTTGTTATTAGTTGTTATTTTTAATAATAAACAATTGTGTATTTGATAACAGATTAATATAAAATAAATTAATAAATTAACAATTGAATTCATATTTAATTATGTTTATAAATTATCACAAAATTATTGTATTACATAAAATTGGTAATTGCATTAACAAATAAATTATATTTATCCAAAATATTTAATTACTCTTATATTTATACATATTATAATGTATAGTGAGATTGTTTTAAAAAACTTATAAAAATTATATTACAATATATTATTAATAATGTATTATTTTAATATAAAACTGGTTTTAATTATTATCAATAATGAAAAAATTGAACAAACCTTTCAAATAATTTATTATTACTTTTTATTTTTTGATTTGAATGATAAATTATCACAGATAACCATAAAAATAGTACTATAAGTACTTTTAAATAATTCCCCAAACAAAAAACAATAAAAATATTTTGCAATTATTTCTGGATTTTATTTAAAATCTAAAATATTTTCAATAATATTCTGCAATTTTATATTTCCATTATTTCCACTTTTAGTTGACATTAAAAATAATTAAATAAATAAAAATTAGTGTTTTACCATAATTCATCATTATGGTCATACTAATTAGTCAGACCACATAATAAATACACAAAATCAAATATAATTAAATATGTTTAAATATCATTATAAATAAAAATATTAATATAAAATCATTATGAAAATCTAGTACTAATGAACTCATAATATTAAATTATCATATCCATACTTTACTTACAAGGACAAATGGTTTTTGTATAAATACGTATTTGTTTTATTTTTAATAATTTTCAGACAAGAAATTCATATAAAAAACTTTATAATTTTTATGATGATTTTTGCAAGTTTGCCATTTAATTTAATTAAAATTATATTGTACACTAATTTATAAATTACAAATATCAACTAATAAAAGATCATAATTTAATGTAACCGCAATAGAAATTTTGGGTATGGCAAACATGGTAAAACATTGTTTTAGATAAAAAAATTAAAAATTTATTTTAGTCAACGAACTTACAGCCAAATTAAAACAATTAATTATTAAGTATATTTATTATAGATTGTTTAACTAGTTATTTACAGTTTGCAAATTGAAGTTACTTAATTAAATATTATTAATATTAATATCCTAAATAATTTATAATACTAATTTATTTAATTCATATTTTTTAATGAATTTTAATTGTTAAATGCATATAGTGCTGGTTAAAATTATTGTTATTAAAGTTTGCTAATAAATTAAAAACAGCACACCAATTAGTACATTGCATATATCATTTAATCAATAAAATTGATATTTTATCATTGAAGACTCGTCCCAAATTAAAATTATTAATTATTAAAATACATTTATTATTAATTGTTTTACAAGATATTTACAGTTGTTGAAAATTATATGCGGAGTTTAAGGTAAAGCAAGGAAGGTATAAACATAATGATTTAGATTAAAAATTTAAAAACTTAATTTTTGGGTTTTATTTCAATCTCCAAATTAAAGTGAATAATTATTAATATGTTTTCTATAAGTTATTTAACAAAATGTTTAAAGTTGTAAAATTATATGATTAAAGCTGTATTCTTAATTAAAATATTTTTATACTCGTACATATTTATTCATTATTTTAAATCACCATCATTCTTGCTAAACGAAAATAACTTTTGAGACAAGTAATAAAAATAGTTAAAATCGTAATAAATTTTAAGTAAGTTTTAATTATTAACACGATTGTTTAGAAAATTAATATTTATTTTGTTAAATTAAAGGCTATTAAGTTATATAGTAATATTATTGTATTATTAATTTGTAATTTATTATTAACTTTAAAATTGTCTTAATGGATTTAATTGCCAGGATTGGTTTCTATAGAGAAGTTGCATTATATTATGATTTAGTTTACATTTTAAGCTATACATGCCAAAACAACATTCTATAATATAGAATCTATATAAATGACCAATACACTGTAAATTTTATATAAAGTATTTTTGGAATTAAAGAGAATAAAATTACATTATTTATTTGTATTATGGTGATAAGTGGTCAATAACGAAAATTATATTTATTTTGAAATAATTAATTTTAAAATATAATTATTTTAATTTTTAAAATTAAAACAACATTAATATGTGAATCGAAAACAATTATCATATTAGTACAAACCATATGACAACATTTATCATAATTAAAGTTACAGTTATTTAATATTTTAAGAAATTTGTTAAAATAAATTTACAGTTAATAATATTTTAACAATCTAAATTAAGTAAACTATTTATTTAAACTTTAATTTTGTTTCAAACTATAATTAGAAATTTAGATTGATTATATCAGATTAAAACAAATTTGCAGACATATGATATTATTAACATTAAACACTTCTCCCAGGTGGAATATAGATTAGTATATTATGTAACAATATTATTGAAAAAACAGGTGCCAAGTCTTAATTTGTTTTATTAAAATATGTATTGCAATTGTCCATGTTAATGCTCTAAACTGTATAAAATAATAATACTGTATTAGTAATAATCCATTTAAATGTGATTAGATTTTACCAAGCTCTGTGTGGTAATTTTCTTTGGAACAACTTAGATAATCTACTTTAGAACAATAAGTTAATTATTAGGAACATTAATTATTAACGATTGCAAATTATTTGACATTATTTTGTAAAGTTTGTAATTTTAACATTTTCTAAGAAATATTATCTCTAAATAGATATAATTATCAAATACTTACCTATAAATACCAGCATAATATTCAATAAAATACAATATTAAATTTTTAACCATAATGAAAGTATTGGCAATTCTATCGGTATTTTATTTAGCAGTAAATGCAGTGCCATTTGACGAGCATTTAATAGCAGAGCCGGCATTCAATGGCACCAATTGGGTAGTGTTGGTCGCCGGTAGTAACACATGGGATAATTACCGCCACCAGGTAAAAATAATTATACATTATAAACTAGTTTATTTGTATAAATGGTTACCTTAATTCAATTTATTTATTTAAGGCTGACGTATACCACGCGTATCAAGTGGTAAAATCACGTGGTATTCCCGACTCAAACATAATTGTCATGCATTACGACGATATCGCTAACAATAAGCAAAACCCAACGCCAGGTGTTGTCATCAATCGACCCAAAGGTCCCGATGTGTATAAGGGAGTGCCCAAGGATTATGTCGGCAATGATGTCAACCCTACGGTTAGTTGACTTTTTATTTTGATTACAAAACTATTTTTATTGATTATAAAATTTTATTATATTTGCAGAATTTTTTGGCTGTTCTCAGAGGCGATCAAGCGTTAGCTAATGCGGGCAAGAAAGTGGTCAAAAGCGGGCCAAACGATCATGTATTTATATATTTTGTCGATCATGGTGATGTTAGTAAGTGTATATTTTATATATTTATTATACGGTATATATTAATGTAAATATAAAATGACTTTTAATTAATTATAATTAATC